ATGACAAATCTATCTTAATGATTAAATTTAATTAAGAAAAAAAAGAAATTTTCATATTGGTCGAAATTAGTTTACACGGTTTCTAAGAATTAGACGATTTTCATTTGATCCCGCCTATATATATATATATATTCATTTTTTATATATATAAAGTTTATCAGTGGTCAGTTTTAATCCTTTAAGTCTAGATTATCAAATTTATGCCCTATTAGGTATAAACTCAACTTTTGTCACAAAACTAGTCGAAGGTACAAGTTGGTTAAGCATAAGATACAAATATCTTATGCACAATCCTACCCAAAGTTCACTTAACACAACTTGTACAAATTAACAGTTAGGAGTATTACAATCTCTCTATAAGAATAATATTATGAATTAGTAGAATTACAAAAGTATTAATATTATCAAATAGTTTAAACGGTGGATTAATTTACCTTCGTGTAGTGTGAAGAAATGTTTGAAGATGACCCGTGAAGACTCCGGAATCGGCTCCTACCCTATTCTCTACCTTTCACGCTAAAGGCGTCGACCCTAATATGTAATATACTTTCAAAACCTTCATTTTGGTATCTCAGATCTGTAATTTCAAACATTTAAGTATCTAATTTAGATATGAGATTGCATAAAAATGCAACATACTTTTATTTGATTCCTATTATGTAACATATTTTAATTTAATTGTTTGAAATATTACATCTAAATGTAAATGAATGAATGATATAATGTCTAAGGTATCAAAATGAAGTTTTTAAAATATATTACATTTGATAGGATCGAAACGTTATCTTTTTATGTAGTTCGTCATTTAGTTAAACAACTTGACTATACGTTCTTTACCGGTGGAAAATATTGAGTTAAATATATTTAGATATATTAGAAGGGTACTTGCGTAATGTAGCGAGATAAATCTCGATTTTGATGTTTAGTTATTATTCTTTGTCTCTATCGATATAATACGATTTTATGTGGTTTTGATAAATCGATATTTATTTTTGAATGAAATATAAATTTGAAGATAGCATAAAAATTTGAAAAAAAAATCGATATTAGTATCAAATTAACTATTTAATAGTTCTCGTTTTTTTTGTGTAACTTTTTTAATTCATTTTTTTATTATAATTTAATTTAGATTTAATAAGATAGTAATTTATTTTTAGTTTAACAATATAATTTTTTATAAAGATAATAATTAAACATTATGTTAGAACTTAATGATTATTTTAGTTAAATTATAGATTTTCTATATTTAAAATGGATGTTTATCCTATATTTGATTATGTTTATCTGCAGTTAGTTACACAAATTTAAAAATAGAGCTTTAATAAGTTGTACTTATGCAAAATTACTTGTAATCTTGAATTGTAAGTAATATGCATCAATAAACAATACTTCATGCATAAAAAATAGTCTTAAGAGTTCTTATCAAATGCTTTATGATATAGTATAGATTAAAATTTGATTTGATTTGGTTTCACCAGATAATAATAGATATTTACCAGAAACTATTCCGAGATAACAAGTCATTAAAAGTTCAATAAGAATAACAATTTTGTTTACTTTTACTTACATTTCACTCTCGATTTTACTGATATCATATAAAATAATCTCTTGTTTTAAGATCGGAAGATAAAAATGGAAAATTTTACAGGGTTATACCATTATTTGTTAAATAATTAGAATATACAAACATTTCATCCTATTGAAAAACATTATTATAACTTCAAGAAAACAAAAAACATATACAAACAACTTAATGACTATTGATTGCGTTTGGTTTGAAGGAACGAAATGGATTTGGGAGGTTTGGTTTATTGTATTGTCTGAATTTGAAATTCTATGATTTTATTGAAATCCTTTAAATATAGAATTTTGAAATACTTAGGGAGTGCTCAAGATTTTACGGAATTTTGTAGAATTATATGCAATGAGGTTTTAAAATTTGTTAAAAACATTTGTTTTGTAACAATCGATTAATAAAAATATAATTCAATTGATTTTATAATTATTTAATAACTTTTTCTTTAAATTATTTATAAATAATGAAATCCAATTCCATTGCAAATTCTACAAACCAAACACAACAATCATTTCCAATTCATTCTAATCCAAATCCTCCATGAAATCCAAATCCCAAAAAACAATCATACAAACCAAACGGACCCTAAGGGTGCGTTTGGTTTGCAGGAATGTTTCTGAGGGATTTGGATTCCCAGGAGGGATTTGGATTCCATGGGATTTGGATTGGATTGGATTTAAAATCYATTCCTGTGTTTGGTTTGCAGGATTTGGATTTGGAGGGATTTGAACTGTACATGAACTCAAAATCATACAGAAGCCAAATTGAACTGTATATGAACTAAATACGTAGAAATTGACTGTCATTTCCACAGCCCTGTAATTAGCTAGACTGAATTCCTAACATTAACTAGACTGAATCAGTTGGGCCAACATGCTTCTTACTCAGTATTGGAATGAAAAGGGGCGAAGAG